TGTTTTTTACAAAAAACGTTATCTATTATTGAGTAAACGGATCAGTAATGAGACAATGGTTTGAGTCTGGAATCAATACTTGGAGTCATTTAATAAAATACAAAGATATCGCTCTTTTCAATGATAAAGCATTACATTTTCAACTATTCTTATAAAATAAATTATTTTATTTAAAAATCACATCAATTTTTACTTAAATTACTGTACATGTAAATTAATTTTATAAGTTTCGTTAATTTATTTAACGTATAATTCAGTATTAATAGTGAATATTTAAATATTTAATTACATGTATAATTACTATATTTGACAAATATAAGCACCAAATGTTTGCTAAATCACTTATAATAAATAAATTATTTGAATTATTGCAATAATTGTATAATTTACTTACAAGTTAATATTAAACAAAACAAATATGGATTTTTATATTAAATTAGTTTCTCATTAGAGTAAATGAAGAAATATATATATGAAAACATTCATTTGGTGACAAATTAAGAGCAAAAATCCTTAAACTAACAAAACATGGCTATAATTACGACCAAAAATTAAATCGTTAAAAATTATGTAATCATTTAATTAACGGAATAATAGTTTGCGAAAAGAAAGTGAAGGAATGTTTCCGATTGAGTGACCGCTGATGGAGGAGTCGTATGGCTTGTAGTGAATTGAATGGCCTTTTTCTATGGGTTTGTATGGCTCGACACAAGCGTCGGTGCAATTTGTTTGTTGCCATTCATTGACTGATTCGCTGGTGGTTTACATCGCTTTCCGGTCGGTTTCATGCATTCAAAACACCGAAAATGCTTTAAACATATTAATAGTGAAAAGTGTAGACCGAAAAAGTGAGTGAAAGGCATAAGCAGTGGTGAGATGTGTTGAGCCGTTTTGAATCATATCAATAAAACTGTTTGCGATACAAGTTTTGATAGTTTTCTGATAAATATATCAAATTTATGCATTAATAATGAAGAATAAAATGTTTTTGAATTTTTATTTATAATACAGTATATTTCTCGGCGCATCACTTTTGTACTGTACATACATTTTTCACATCAATTGAATGGCAATAAATAACTTTATAATTATTATGATTATTAACATATTTAGCATCTCATTCAATGCATGCATCGTTTTGTCTGACATTTATTTGTAACATATATTCACATGAAATCAAGTCCCCAATGATTAGTCCATTAATTTTGATTTTTAATTACCTCCTCAGCCTCTCTCTCTCTCGACGGTCTCTCCATCGGTTTGTGGGCCGCCTTTGTTAAAGGTTGAATGTAATAGAAATCTGCATAACTGAGCACAACTGTGATCGATGTCTATTAATTATTTGTCAACTTCTAGTTGTGGAAACATACAAATTCCAGCGATTCATGTGATGTGAATGTAATAGAAATCTGCATAACTGAGCACAACTGTGATCGATGTCTATTAATTATTTGTCAACTTCTAGTAGTGCTGTTCAATAAGAGCTTATCTTTTAGGATTCAGAGGTGCGCTCAACAGTATCTCTGGAGCACTACTACCACTACAACCACCACTACTACACCATCACTACTACACCATCACTACTACACCATCACTACTACTCCCATAATAATCAACATTATATCTAACAATCTTAACGAAAATTCTATATTCTGTGCGCTCTTCTCGCTGTTAGTCCACTATATTATATAAATCCGAGATCTTATAGTTTATCCTTTGAATAACTCAATGCCTTCTCTCAAATCACTGCAACAAAAACTAATCCATTAATCTTTGAGTGAATAATTGAAATCAATTTTAAAATTTATTATTAATTGTTCTCTTTTTTGTTGAGACAATTGTTTAGATATGAGAGACATATATATCACCAGAAATGGGTATTAAAGATGAGTTGAGCATCACTTCCCGTTCCGTACATTAACAGTGAAGTAGAGAATATGTAGAGAATATATACTCGAAAGCGAACCATAGCTTTGGTTGGATATGAGTAGAGATGAGACGAGCGGTAATGGAGTTTGTGGTGTTTGTGAGCCACTTATGTATAATCGATACAAACCTCAAACTCAAACTTCAAATCAATTAAAGTAATGAAAGAGTGAAATAATAAAAAAGAGAGCAAACAATTGTTTTTTATGAATCGTTTTTATTATATTTGGCTTTCATTATAAACATATATTTGTGTGACTTTTCATTTTCATATTATTATTATATTCCTATACCTGTATATATCTCATGTCCAACACTATTCAATTAATGAATGTAATTTTATTGGTAAAAATCATTGCAAAACATTTGCCTTTGAATACCTACTCTAAAATTTATAATGACTTTTATAACAAATCTATAGAGTTTTGTTATACAATAGTGTATTGTTTTTTATATGTATTATTTATTATTCACTTAAAGGCATTCTCAATGAGTGTTTCAATTAAGAGAATAGTTGACAACAAAAAAAGTTATCTTCACTTTTTTGGTCGTCATTTCACACATCAAATCAATCAATACATTACTTTTCTCTGTCTTTCTTTTATCTCTCTTTCTTTATAGTCTGTGGTCTTGTAATCATAATTATATATATATTTACTTACAGTATATTTGCATTTGTTTTTATGTATTTCACGACATTTCTTACATTTTATATATTTATATTTACTGTATGTATATATCATTAGAAAATCATTTTATAAGTTAGTCCTCAGAAAAAATGTGAAAAACCGACGGCTTTTGCTTTCGGAGGAATATTTTTGACTCAAGAAGTTTATGACAAGTTATGATTTTACTTGTGGTATACCTCTAGTCATGCAGAATAGATGCTCGCATTGGCACTAATGTTATGATTAATACTTGTATGTTTACAAATGTTGTAATGATACACACTTTTGTGTTTTGTTTAGAAATATAATATATATATTTATATAACTCATAACTTAATACAACTGACAAAAACAACAATTATGTGGTTATATCTACTGTTTAATAGCAAATGATACTAACATTTTCATGAGTAAATCACACATTGATTATAAACTCAATTCATTTATAGCACCGTTTAGTTTATTATTATTTTTTTGTGTTTGTTTTTTCCAATCAATGAATGCTTTTTTATAATACTCTGACTTTATGTCCAAATATTTTTCTCTATCAAAAAAACATTTTTACAATAGTTTTTTGTTTTAATATTTCAAATTATAAATCCGTTTCCTTATATCTCATAGATTCCACACTTTTTAGTTTTAGTTATTTATAAATTTATAAATTATATACAATTTTATAGTGCTTTTCATACATTGAATGCATGCTCTCAATTGAACGCTAACTAATATTTAACAAAATACTATAAATTCAGCCCAACATCGAGTATCCGATTTATGTATCAATAATGCAAAATAACAATTCATTCCAACCATTCCTGTGGGGAATCGTTGGAATCGACCTCAAGATTAGACATAACCATCGACTCCAATGGTTGGGCCGAAGATGTGATTGTTTTAAATGTGGATTAGAAGAGACGCGACACTAATTTGGAGGAATCATTTCGGGAACAATTGGGGCAACAGTTAAGGAACAGTTAGGGAACAGTTTGGGAACAGTTTGGGAACAATTTAGGGGAACATTATATTGGTTGCGAGCAATAGAGCCCAGGGATGAATGGAATCGAAACTTTGTATACATTATTATATAATATATTATATAAGATATAATAAATATATTTATAGTATAATAGAGACGAATATCACCGTTATTTTTTGAGGCCTATGTTTTCGATAATATAACTTAAAAGTGATGAACATTTGTTTGTCATTTGATGGTAAAACTGATATGAAAATGAGAAATAGTTGTGTGTTTCGTGTGTTATGTATATATATTTATATATAATTTTGTTGCAAACTTTATTACAGTATTAGTTAACATAACATGAATCGTGAATTCCCTTTGGATGGGAATCGACTTCATATCAATTCATATGAAAACATCATATTTTAATATCAATTATCAATATATGACATATCAATGTATGATTTGTTTATTTCAATATTTTTGTTTTATTTTGTATAATATTGTGCATAATTTTTTAGTTATGATTTGATTATTGTATGATTTCTATAATTTATGTTAACATATAGTTATTTATTTATTTATTATATAAGTTCTCGTGTATCGGAACTAATGGCAAAGCAAAGCATACAAATTCATATGTATTGGAAAATTGGAAATTTATTTCTTTATACAAAACTCATTTATTCGTCTCAATATCTATCAATCGTTTTCTTCGTATTCATTATCACATCCATTGGATTATGAATGCTATGAATATATATTGAAAATATTGAGCGAATTGTTATTAATTGATTAAATGCTATACTATTTAGTCTATTGTATGTATAAATGTCTGCATCGATGCATCACAACAAACATCCATCTGAGAGAACATGTCAACAGTGTTTAAAACATTTCATTTAATTATATATATATTTATGTTTCATTCAAATCAATATATATTATATAATATAATGTATATTATATGAAGGGATGGTTTACCCGTTCAGAGTGTGGTTTCAATGTGTAGTTGTATTGTATGTCTGTTTGGTTTGTCTGTTGTTGTCTTTGCCGTCAGTTGTTGTCAATTGAGTTGTCGTATGAATACAATAATGAGTGCACTATAGCTAACGATGAGGGGGTCGGCCGGTGGGGGCCGACCAACTGTCCACTACTGAGCCTGATAGCCTTGCATAGGGTAGGCACCGAGCATTGCCGGCTGCTGTAGGCCCGGCCCGAGTCCGGTCTGATGTGTTTGGGCGCCCAAATGTGGCTGTTGTCCGGGCACAGCACCAGCGGCTCCCGATTGCCAGGCCATCTGCATCGCCAGTCCCGCCGCCGCAGACGCGTTGAACCCAGCGGTTGGTGTTTGAGCGGAGGTATAGTATTGGGAGTACGGGTACTGAACGCCAGTCTGTACTGCGAATTGACCCGAAGGTATAGTCTGAGGATAACCTGTTTGTGGATACCAATAGCCGGCCATTTGTTGATACGGATAGCACAGCGATTGCGCTGCGGCCACAGTATTGCCCGATTGGTGGCCGGTCTGAGTGATGGTCGGGTCGCCGGACTCCTTACCCCACGAGCATTTGACTGTCTGTCCCATTACGTCGGCGTTATGTGTGGCCACTATAGCGTTGGTCGCCGACTCTTTTGTGGCAAACTTTATGAACGCATAGCCCTTATCTTTAAAGACGCGGATCTCCTGAATGGGTCCGTACGGCGCGAATGTCTTTTGGATCAACTCATCGCACAGTCCGGTCATAATTCCGCCGCAATAGACCGTACAATTGGTTGGACTCGACTGCTGGTAGACCTCATCGAACGTCAACTGCCGTACACTTGTGTTCACTCCGGGGCCGACCTCTTGGGAGCGGCCACTGGACGGCGGCTTACGAGTGGCCCAATTGGTACGTATGGCACGACTGCCCAACCACTGGCCGTTCATTGTGGAGATGGCGTTCTCTGCGTCCTGTTTCTTGACAAACGACACGAATCCATACCCTTTCGACTTCAATGTCTGCGGATCTCTCACTACACGACAGTCGGAGATCTCGCCGAAGGGACTGAAGGCGTCCCTCAACTGCTGGGTCTCGATCTCAGGGCTGAGGTCGCCGACGAAGATGTGAAAGTGTTTGGATGTGTCGGGTTTGGGGCCAGTGTTGCCGGGACTGGTGGCCCAATTCACTTTCAACTCGCGGCCCATACACTGGCGCTTATTCATTGTGAGCAGTGCTGTGGCCGCGCAGTGATGGTCGTTGTACTCCACGAAACAGTACGGGTCAGAGTTGGCCGAGTCGTGGATGATCTTACAGCCGTTCACGTGACCCATCTGTGAGAACAGCGCGAGGATCAGGTCTTCGGTGATGGACGCGTCCAGATTGCCCACATAGAGCGTCCGCGGCTGACACGAGTCGCCGCCGACAACACTCATCACCACCGATGAGTCGCCGCACTTCGAGTTGGCCACCGATGACGTGCTGTTGTTCTGCATCGTTATATAGAGCGGATCCAGTGGTTCAGTGGTCGATACAGACGTGGCTTAACCAGTGTTTTGGTCACCGATTACTATACCGTTGGTTACGGACCGACAAATGCGATCACTTTGACTGAGCTATAGCTGACTCAGTCCTACTATACAGGAGTGTATTGTACAGCGAGTCAGCACTCTATACAACACTAAACACTACTAAACACTATAGCGATATGCGATAGTATTGTAGTCATCAAACACTACACACACAGCACTCACACACACTCGCACTGTCAACCATTACTACACCTTCGCTGTACATTCACAGCGTTGTAACGAACGCGCATTCAGTACAGCACTGCCACTACACCACTGCCGCTATATTGCTCTCTATATTGCTCTGCGCTTTCACTCCTTTCGGCCACGTTTTTGCCCCCACTTTACACCTCAAGATGGACCCACTTATACACCCCCTCCCCCCTCAACGCCACACCACCCATACATTACGACACCCGCACTCCCGGCACACACTCACCCCCACTTCACACACCCCTCCTATTGTCTGTCCATTTGAGTCGCGTTATAACACAATTGATTTGTTTTAATTAAATCATTCAAAAGTTTGCATTCAATTCAATCGTTTCGTTGCGAACCATATTTCGAGACTTGTATTTGTTTGTGACGTTATTTGTGGTCAATTGAATGCAAACCCATTGTGTACTCAATTACGTCCAACAATTGGTGTTAAAAGTGTCCCCTTTTATGGCTTGCATTCAATTTAATGCCAATTCATTGATATTTGTTTCAAATGAAAATGTATTGCAATTAAGACTACTATTAGGATTGCATTGATAGCCTATATTAGACCACAATTTGACCATGGTCGGCCATATGGGGTGCATACATGTGCAGGGGTGGTCATAGGGGGTGATGGGGGTGACAGGGGGTGATGCGGTCAACTAGGATGGTCTATGTGTGTCCAGTATTGGATGTATTGGATGTATGGCATTGAACTTTAGTGGCGTAAGTATTGAGTGCCTGTATTATGGGTTCTTGGAGTGAATTCTGTGGCAATTCTGCGCTCACTTTATCTCACATTCAGTCACACT